GTCGATTCCGCGTACTCCTCTCGTGGAGCAGGAGTACCGGTGTCGACGGCGAGCACTTCCGGGATCGATTTATCGCGTCTAGACAAGACGCGATAAATTGATCCCAGAAGATCGATTGCTTACCGCCGAACCCGGAGGTAAGTATAGACGTACCCTGAGTGACAAAATGTCCCCCAGTGTGGATGCAATTATACTGGCATAAAAGTGCTTATACCAATATAGTTTATTGTGGTTTGGGAAGCAAAAAAGCTATATCAATATAACTGCATCCACACTGGGGCCTATACCTGTATGTCAATACAAAAAAATCACCCCCCTAATTGATGTAGTTATACCAGTAGAACTTGTAGTGTAGACGAGGCCAAAAGTATGAGGTAGTGAAAAAAATGAGGCTCAAATGTATTTATTGTCTAGTTTCTTCCTAATATTTTTGTAAGAGTCTCTGAAGATCTGACTTATGGATTTTAAAATCAGCTTTAAATTTAAGAAATTAAACTTTGAAATCCTAACCCATGTTGGCTTCAGAAGTGGATTTGTACATCTTTAAAACTTCTCTGTTTAGGGTCCAAATTCAAAAAAACATTCCTATTGCAGAAAGCACTTAAGCACATTTAAGTCCCAGGCTACATCCTCACTGGGGGGGAAGGGGTGGTCGATTTAAGATACGCAAATTCAACGTATCGGAGCCGACTTACCCCGCTGTGAGGTCGGCGGCAAATCAACCTCCGCGGCTCCCCCGTTGATGGCGCTTACTCCTACCTCCTCTGGTGGAGTAGAAGCGTCGATTCGGGGATCGATTGTCGCGTCCCGATGAGACGTGATAATTCGATCCCCAAGAGATCCATTTCTACCCGCCGATTCAGGCGGGTAGTGTAGACCTGCCCCCACTGAAGTACATGGGAATTAAACACATGCATAAGTGCTTTCCTGAAATTGGGGCCAGAGTCAGGAGTCATGGTCTTTGCAGAATTACTTCCTTGTTCATTTCAGTGCTGTATAATCACAAGTTATTCATGTTTTAAGATAGTGGGAAAGACATACAATAGAAGCTTAAACCAAGTCTGTTACACTTGTTCAATATTTACAGTATTCATAGCATCAAACAGAATAATTTTGGTAACTTAAGACAAATACCTTTTCTTTGTTATTTAATGTACCATAGTATTCCTGTTAAATGAACCCACTGTCTCGGATATTAAAGAAATTGCTGTTTACATTTACTGTGTCATTTAAATTAAAAATCTGTTCCTGTTCCAAGCCCCACTCGCCTTCATCCTCATCTTCAGGTTCTGCTTCAGACACATTGCGAGTGTTTTCATACAAAAAGATCTGCTCATCAACATGAGCTGGGGCTAACCGGTTTCTCTTAGCACTTACAACATTAGCAGAGGAACCAAAAAGGCGTTCAGGGAAGACTCTTGTGGCAAGAATACACCAATATTTCTGAAGTACCTTTGGTAAAACAGGAAATAATGCTAGTCTGTCAGACCACCACTTAAGTGGGTCTTCATTTAGACCAAGAACCTTTTGTGACTTAAAGTTGCTCAATTCCTCAACAATCTGAGCATGCCATTCCTCTTGGTCTTCCACCCCTCCTGTCTGGCAAAAGATTTCCGCAAGCATGTTATTGATTGCGCTGGTAGGGGGAGGGGTAGAGGAGATGATTATTTTTTTCACAGGTGGCTCTTCTGACACCGTAAAGAACTTTTCTTCAGGCCTGAAAGTGTTTTCTTTTACTTTTTCCAAAAGGCTTTTTGCTTCCTCCACCACTCTGTTTTCTACCTGTTGCCGTTCAAATGCTGAAAGGAAAGGTAGTTTTTTGTACCTAGGGTCCAGAAAAGTTGCAACATTGAGAAACATGTCTATCTCAGGTGTATGCTGGTATGTTGTTGACAACTCTTTGGCTATCACTTCCTTGGCCATGCTAATTTCTTTCAAATCATTCTCTTTGATGTTCAACGTGGTATTTAGAAGCATGTGGAGGAGGGGTTTCACCATACTTATTGTTGGATATTTTGAAGCAGACATCATCTCAGCAACCTGTTTAAAGGGCTGAAGTAGGTCCACCAGGCCTTCAATTGTATTCCATTCGCTGGCTTCCAGCATCAGATGGTGGTTATTGCTGTCCTCCACAAGAACTGCTGCAATTACAAACTGCTGTTCTTTAAGGCGTTGCAACATGGCAAGTGTGCTTCCCCACCAGGAAACACGATCACTTACAAGCATACAGTGCAGAATATTTTGTTGCTTCTGCTTCTCACTTAACATGTACATTGCGACCGTGGACTGCTGAAAATATTCCACCAGTTTTCGGCACCTGGCAAGAAGGCTGCACAGTTTTGGAAGCTGAAAAGCTTGTTGTATTCCTGCATTAAAAGTCTGCCCCAAACAAGGCATTTGTACTGGAATATCTAGGAGAGAGCAAGCTTTCACAATGTCTTTACCATAATCTGTTGTAGCACCAAAGACTTTTGTATTGATCCCCCATTCAATAAAGATTTCATAAAGGACTCGTGTAATAGTTTCTGCAGTATTTTCCTCTGGCACTTCAAACGTTTTTAAACACCGGGAGTTAACAGCCAAACAGTTAGAAGGGCTACTATTCAGAAAATGAACTGCAAGTGTTACATACGATCTATTCTGGTTTTCACTTCTCCACATGTCAGTGGATATGCCACACCATAGAATTTCAGTAAGTTCTTTTAAAACAATTTCTCTAATAGCATTGTATTTTTCAGGAATTGCTTTTGTGCAGAAATATTTCCTGCTAGGAAGTTCATATCTAGGATCAGCTGTTCTCAAAAGTGCCTTGAATGTGGGTTCATCAACAATAGAGGAAGGATACATGCCCTCACAAATTAGGCTAATCACAGCAGAAGTCAATTCTTGATGCTTTTTGTTTTCATAATTGTGGCTGGTCTTCATAATTAAAGTGTCTTGAACAACCTGCTGTGATGATTCGGGCTTCAGTTTTGAAAATGCAGTAGCAAACGCTTCCCTCATTTGCTCAGTGTTACTTTTCACAAATTCGCAGAACTCATCAGGATGATTTTTCTCAAGGTGGTATGAAAGGTTGGACGTGTTTCCTGAATAGGCAATTTGGGCCATGCAGATGCGGCAATAGATTTTCTTCCACTGTAATATGCATCCTTCTGCATTAGTATCAAACCCAAAGTACTTCCATACTTTACTCTTTGCTCTTGGATGAGCCACTAACTTTAGATCTGATGGCGAGCCTTCTAAGCTTTTATTCTCCATTGCTTCTTGGCCACCGTCCCACCTTTTGATCCTTCACTCATTAATGAGTACCTGATAAAGGCAGTAAGATAAAGATACAATGAGAAAGCACACGTCGAGCACACTCAACTATGTGAAATCAGTGCTTCTGTGAATACACCAAGAAACCTACCTTACTAATTACATTTGAAAATTTAAAGATGAAGTTTACAGGAAGTGTGACCTATAGGAAGACCCATTAGAATGTCAAAAATAAAAGTGTTTTAATATGTGAACCGATGCTGTGACTGAACTAGTACAACCAAACAAAACTGAGTTTCTTGAGTAACATGAAAATTCTTGGTAGAGAAAGTGTAACAATCACTGTAGATTTTAAAAAAGTTATTGCCACGTACATTAGACATTTGTTATAGTAGTTCCCTATCCTGAAATTATACTTAAGGTTGAGTCAACATCCCTTTGCACAAGAATTATTGAACTCTGCTGTTTCTGCTATTTCAGCAGAAATTTGTTACACAAGGAACAAATGTTTGTTTGTGCTAGTTGTACATTACAACTATAGAAGTGATCCTGCTCTGCTGAAATCAAAGGACATTTTCCAACTGGATTCAGTTAAAGTAGGATCAGAGCCCTCATGCAGAGCAACAATATACATTTGAGGACTTTCCTGCCTGCTTCTTTGTGGAATTAACGTTCAGAGCTCTTGGCTCCTGGAATATCAGCACCTTATAATTGCAGGAAGAGAGGCAGGCAGGGGAACTTTTATCAATGCATTGAAATATGTCAGTTTGAACATTCTTTTTAGCTGTTCAGAAGAATAAACGTAAGAGTTTTCTACAGAGTGTGCTCCAGAAAATTATACCTACAGATTTGCATGGGGCAAAATATTTTTTGCCAGAAAAGTATAAAGCCACCAGTCTCCCTTCAAGCAACTACCTGCCAGAGCTCATTTCTCTGCACCAGGCTAAGACTGCATGTGTAGATGTTGCTTTGTCTACCTCTACCATGGCTGCAATCTAGCCAGACCATTGCCAACAGACCCTCAGAACAACAAACAGCCCCATTCTTGAAATGCCCAGTAAGTGGGTAACAAAGATCAGTAAGGAGAGGGGAAAGGAGCCATCAGGGAACAGTGGTGCAGGCACATACAAAAATTTGAGAGGACCAGAGTTGAGAATACATTCATGATGCATTCTATTGAGAATGGGACGTCAACAAATCAGTAAGTTGGGGGAAGATGACATGTCCCCATCATTCCCTGTCAGTGGCAGCACCATGCCAGGAAACAGAAAAAGAAAGCCCTGGGTGAATAAGACAAGCTAGAAGGCTTTTCATGACATTGGTGCAGACCTGCGGGAATGTTTGTGCGTGTGTAACTTTCCAGTGCAGTTGCTCCTGTGGGTTTACACTATGGAGTAAGGGACTTTTGTTCCTTTTAACTATTCTAGTTATTTTTTAATATTTTGGGTTTTTAATAAAATATTAAGACAAGATTATTGAAGGTTAAAGATGAGGAGGAGTTGCAGATTTTTTGGTTTGGTTGATTTCTTTAAATATTTACATCTGAAGATTCTGCATCAGGAGGTAAAACTATTCTGTTTTTAAAAATGTGCTCTGAATACTGGTATGTCCTTTGCTATGACTAATTTCAGTGCTTCAGTCATCAATATGAATTACTGACCCAACATGGTTATACTGTATCATTCCAAAGATCCATATTAACAACTCCATGTTATGCATTCTCATAGTTTGACAGTATAACTTAGAAGGAGAGGTATATACAGTATAATGTTACAGATGATGATTTTAATAGCTTCATATTATGCACTGGCATGATGTACCATATCAGTATTTGCTGTTATTATTGCTTTCAGATACCTCTATTTCAAGCCATGTCACAGGGTTTCTGGGACACACACAGACTCAACAAATTTCATTTTATCCCAGAATATCCCTTACTGTAACACAGAGGTTCCTGGAAGCAAAGAGGAAGTCGAGTAATAAAACAGGTGGTGTGCCTTTAATATTTAAAATTAAGGAGGGAAATTCTACAACATACAGATCCTGTCATAGAACAAGAAAACACAAGTTCATTCACAGTGAATGAGTGTCCCAGGCTCACTCCACCTGATTTTATGACTGTAAGATCTTTTCTATCATTTGTATATAGATTCAGCATTTATCTAGTGGTACACTGTAGCATTGCCACAGTTAAAGATACACCAGCATACCACCACCTTAATTATAACACTGAACCACACATAACTTTGCAATCTAAATTGCTCTTTTTTAAATGTAGCCTTTTTCTGGATATAATTTAATAATATCTTACATGTACAATATATATAGTTCCTTTCATCTTGATGGATCCCAGATATTATTCCTCTTATATATGTAAATGACTTCACCAGCAATGGATCACAAACTGTCTCTGGAGTGAAACAATTTTAACAATTTTAACAACTGGGAAACATAATTAAGACAGGAAGTACAGCATCCTTAATCTATTATAATACTTTCTCCATATGAAATAAAAGATATTATTAATACTTGAATCAAAATTGAGGGGACCCACGCTCTCTATTATTAATAGTTTTGAATGTTTTGAAAATTATAGCGAAAGCCAGAAGAAAATAATTTCATTTAGATTAATTAGAAAGAGAAAATTGGGCACATTTAAAGTCTATCTCAGGTTAAAAGATGCTTTTAAAAACATGAATGAGTAATATCAGCACTCAGTTCTAAGTCACTTTCTACATCTCTCAAGTACCAAATATAAACATTAACAAGTCTTCTCCACAAGTACAAAACATACACCATCGAGTATGTCTGAAGCCAAATTTCAGTGAAATGATTTATGCAATATAAGATCAAATGCAGCATGAGAAAAAACAAAAAATTTCTGACAACTCTTCAACATGATCACAGAAAATCCTACTCTGTGAAACAATTAGTATCAGAGATAGCATGATTTTAAAAAGATAAAAAAAATGAGATGACTTGCAATGGGCTGCAACCACATTTCCTGTATTAACTTCCTGGTGTCACAATTAGCTAGCTCATCTTTTGTAAATTCACTGATTAGATTTTTGTTTCTAAAACTTGATTTTGAGGCAAGGTCACACCTTACATTAAGATATCAGTACGAGCATTTATTTTAATTATTAAAGTTAAGCAGTGGGAGAAGAATATGCATGCAGTAGTATCTATTTGAATAGATAATTATCTTGGTACACACAGCACTAACAGATATATATTACCATACTGATCTTTAATTATACTATTTTATACAATTAGTATTGAGAAATGTTTAAATAATAATTTATATAATTCCTCTTTCTCCTTTACTTTCCAGCACTGCACTTAATTGTGAAGTCTACATTAAATTCACAACCTGCATTGAAATTCCTCCTTCTGTGTTTCAGTTTCAGAGTCTGAAGCAAACTTCCTGATATTCCTACCCTGGAATGCTGTGAAACTTGCACCTTCATGTTATATATTTACACGTTTGTGTTTTCAGTTCACAAATCAAAACAACTACTGCAATATATTTTGCCCCCCGAGCTGCCTCATTTGTACAGTTCAAACTGTCCTTTCCATACACACCATCCTAAACAATATCTGTAAAATTAGACAAATATTAGCAGGATGTAGTAGGAGTCAGTTTTTAGAAAGACAAGTTAAGTTGTGTAGTGAAAACAGCATACAACCTTGATTAATTCAGGAAAAGAGGACTAATTTAATTTAGTTTACTTTAGACTGCAGCTCCTGAATATTTCTGTGAAATAGTATAACAAGCTTTTTTTAAATGAATGCAGCTTCTGAAGATATAAGGGCTACAGCTACACTACTGGACTTCAGACCCTTAATTCAACACAGGGCAGATCAATCACTGGATGCCAGACTGCTTTCTATAATATAGCTTCCACCATGGAGCTGCACCTATGCTGAATTATGGCTATGTGGCTTGCCAGTGTAGATGAGGTCCAGTAGGTTTGAAGTCCAAATTCCAGAACATGTAGACTTGAGGAGCTAAACTACAAATCTTCGGCTCTCCCCTATTCCCCCCAATGTTTTTTTAAATGTCTCTCATGATGAGGCAATTGATACCTGATTTATGCACCTTTTATTCCAGTAATCATATCTTTTTAAGAATTGAGGACTACAAGGGTTAGAAAAGTATCAGGGGGTAGCCGTGTTAGTCTGTATCTACAAAAACAACAAGGAGTCTGGTGGCACCTTACAGACTAACAGATGTTAGAAAAAGCTTTCAACTTCTGTATTTTAAAATATTTTTAGTTCACTAACTTCTTGACACAATTGTTGCTTCTTTATTCCAATAGAGGTAGCAGATTACTGATCCAAGATTAACTATGTTCATTCTAAAACACATGTAATTACTTTCACATTTTAAAGTGTTGTTTTTGTCATACTATGATCACTACTTGAAATCTTACCTAGACTAGCCTAACGTCCATATCAAAATACCCCTGTTCACAAGTTGGTTTGTTTTTTAATCACACTGTTTCAAATACATTCTTGATATTTTTGATTTGTTAATTATATTTAAGATTACAATAAAATAAAATGTTTGGGTCAATCTTTGTCATAATATTTCTGTTCAGTTCTAAATTATTTTGAAAGCGTTACACACTCTAGGCATAATCCACAACTTTACCCTGCCAAGAAAAACTAATGCTAGAAGAATGCTCAGCTGACACAAAACTGTAGGCACACATCTGCTTTTTTTTCTTTTTGGCATGTTATATGTTTTTGAGAATGAGAAAGCAAAACTCAAATCTGCATTAGAATTATTAGTATGGAAGAAACATTACCCAATGAACCCATGTGTGGAAATCTGTGCTGTCCAGTCTTTGCATTAATTTTACAAAAATTAATGGTTGACACAAATTTATTTTCTCTCCTCCCTAGTACCTCAACTATACAATAAGTTGATTTGGGTCTCATATTTTAAATAATCTCACTGAACTGCATACCTATACCTGCATTTTTGTTGTTATTCTGGTTAAAACCACCATCACCTCCATAAGAGCCACATTTGAAGCTAGTCAGAGAAAATAAACAGAACCAAACTAGTGAGCTGCAGTGATGCTGTCACTCATTACATGTTTTTCAGGCCTTCCCAAGTTGCAGGGAGCTGTTAGAAGCACCAACAAATTCAAAAGTGTCTTTAAAAATCAGTATCCTTTTAAATATAAGATGCCTATTGTGTTGATGTCTGGCCTGAAGAGATTCCCAGATTAATCGTTTTTGGAAACCTCAAGTTTCCTTCCTAGACACCTAATGTGGGGAAACAGAACATCATTAAGTTTTCTGTTGACCACGAAAATCATTTAAAAATGTAACACAAAACTGTCAGAAAAGGAGCTAAACTAAAAGCTCCACAGAGCAAACTGAATGCCATTGAATTGTCACCTTAAATGCTGGCAAGTAATGACAATATATATTCAGCATATAAAATGCATACAACACTCCCACCAATGGCTGGGTGGGAAGAAAAGACTAGCAGTCTATGGATTCAGTGAAGAAGTTCACCACTGTCAATACTGGAAGAGTGATTTTAGAGAGGATGTAATCAAGTGGCCAGGAGTGTGGAAGAATAAAGTCCAGTGTCCAAGTTTAGCAGAGATGGAGGAATTTACTTGAGTGGCAGAATTCAAAAGCAGGCAAGGAGAACAGGGAGGGTTCTAGCCTAGTATCTAGGCACAGGAACAGGGCAGAGGAAGGTAGCCAGGCAAAGCAGCAGGTTCTTGTTCAGCAGGAGAAGCTAGGGGAACTGGTGATTTCTTATAGGTTTATCACCACAGTATCTGAGCACATCACAAACACTGATCAACACCCAGGTGAGGCTGAGACCTGAGGTACAAACAGAACAAAAATCACGCCTGAATCTGAGGCAATGCGGGGAATTGAACCCAGCTTTCCGGGGTCTGTCCAGCACCTTAACCACAACGCCACTCAGGTCCAGCAGCAGAGAGGTATGCAAGGGCCTAACGCAGCGGCCTGGGTCAAGTGCAGTAACGCGGGGGGGACTGTGCGTCTAGTACGGGAACGAGTGCAGTTAAAGCAGCGAGGGGGCGTGTGCAGGTGTCTCCCCAGTAACTGAGTATGCCAGGCTCAAGCCCACGAACCGCCTACAAAGCCAGCAGGGGAAAGGGCCCAGCGGCCCCAGCCCAGCAGCCAGGCGCGTGCGGAGGGCGCCAGCGCAGCGGGCCGAGGGGAGGCTGGAGCGCGCAGCTCCGTGGCCCGGCGCAGCAGCCGCAGCGTATGCAGCTCACGGGGGAGGAGCGCCAGGGCCAGGCCCTGTGGTACTGCAGCTCTGGCAGGGAGGGGAGCCCCCGGTGCGGCCGGAGGGCAGGCTGCGCACACGCAGGAGCCGGAGCCCGGGGGCGCTCCTTAGGGGTGGCGCTGCAGACCCTCGCTGTGCGCAGGGGCCAAGGTCACGGCACACGTCCGAGCCCCCGCGGGGAGAGTGGGGCCCGGGTGGGGGAGGAAGGGAAGACTACAAAGAGGGAGCGGCCGCCGGCCTCCTGTTTTCCCCCCTGCCCCGTTAGGAGAGCGGGCTCAGTGCCCGGCGGACCGCAGGCGGGCTGCGCCCGGTGCCATTGCACGGCTCCCCGGGCCTGCCAGCAGCGCCCCGCACGGGGCGGCCCCGACCGCCGCTGGGCAGCAGCGGGGGGCGATGCTCTCACCTGGCGCGGGGGGCCCGCCGGGGCGGAGGCGGCGCAGCAGCTGGTGCAGGGCGACGGCGAGGCCGATGCAATAGAGCCGCAGCGCGGGCAGCGCCCGAGACAATAGCGACATGGCTGCCTCCCGCCCCTCGGCGCGGGGAGAAGCGGGGACGGGGCCCCGGCGCGCCTCTGTATGTGTGTGTGTGTGTCCCCGCTCCCGGGCTGGGCGGGCGCGGCGCTGCTGCAGAGCCCACACCCAGCGGAAGGGAAAGCGCCGCCGCTGTCACAGGCTGCACGGCCCGGACGCTCCGCCGCTCGCTTCTGGGCATGTGCGCGGCCACACCGCGTCAGGGCGGGGGAAGGGGAGAGCGGCCCCTGAGCCCCATGCCTCCAGGGGCGCCCTAGGCGCCGAGCGGGCGGGTGGAGGAGCGGGATCGGGGGACACTGCCACCGTAGTTGGGGAGAGATGCAGCCAGGGCTGCGCTAGCTGCCAGGGAGGCGGGAGTTGCAGGGGCCAGCTGGCCGGGACCGGGTTGGTTTTGAATTTACTGAAGAGTCAGGCTGGAGAACTGAGCAGCTGGAAAGTAAGGGGGCCCTGTGGGTGCCTCCTGAAAGAGAGCTCTGATCCTGGGCCCCCACAGACATGAAAATGAGGCCAGGATCGGCTGCCCTTACATTATAAACTGTGCACAGACTGGAAATAGGACACACATTTTTAACAGCCAGGGTAATAAACACTCGGAACAAAATTACCAAGGGTTGTGGTGGAGTCGCCATCACAGGCAACTTTTAAACCAAGATTGGATTTTAAAAAAAGAAAACATGCCCTAGGAATTATTCTGGGAAAGTTCCAAGGCCTGTGTTACACAGGGTGTCAGACCAGGTGATCACAGTGGTCCCTTCTGCCCTTGGCTGTATGATAATACAGTAACTCCTCGCTTAACGTTGTAGTTATTTTCCTGAAAAATCCGACTTTAAGCGAAACGAAGTTAAGCGAATCTGATTTCCCCATAAGAATTAATATAAATGGGGGGGAGGTAGGTTCCAGGGAAATTTTTTTCACCAGACAAGACACTATATATATATATATATATATACACACACACACACAATATAAGTTTTAAACAATTTAATACTGTACAGAGCAATGATGATTGTGAAGCTTGGTTGAGGTGGTGAAGTAAGAGGGTGGGATATTTCTTACTGCTAAATGAACTAGCAGTCGGCTGAGTCCCCAAGGGTTAACACATTGTTGTTATTGTAGCCTCACACGCTACAAGGCAGCACAGATGGAGGGAGGGGAGACAGCATGGCAGACAGAGACACACACCGTGTGTGTGTGTGTGTGAGAGAGAGAGAGAGAGAGAGATGCGCATTGCCCCTTTAAGTACGCTGACCCCACTCTAAGTACACTGCCTTTTTAAGTAAATCAGCAAGTCGAGGCAGCAGTCGCTTTCAGCAAGCTCCCTCTGTCCTGAGCCCTGTCATGACCCCCCCCCGCTCTATGGAGATGGGGTAAGCAGGGGGAAGGGAGAGACCCTGACATTAGCCCCCCTCTTTCCACGCCCCGCACAGCAAGCAGGAGGCTCCTGGGAGCAGCTCCAAGGCAGATGGCAGGAGCAGCACATGGCAGTGTGGGGAGGGACAGCTGAACTGCCTGGCAATTGATAGCCTGCTGGGCTGCTGCCGCACAAGGAACTTAGGGGAGCTGGGAGCTGACAGGGGCTGCAGGTCCACCCTGGTTCCAAGTCCCCACCAACTAGCTGCAACGGGCTGCTCTTCCTGCACGCAGTGGACAAAGCAGGCGGCTGCCAAGCAACGTCATAAGGGAGTATTGCACAACTTTAAACGAGCATGTTATCTAATTGATCAGCAACATAACAATGAAACAACGTTAACTGGGACAACTTTAAGTGAGGAGTTACTGTACAGAATTTAGGTGTTATGTGACCCAGTGAAACTGAACAATGCTGCCCCCATCACCTTATCCACGCACCTTCCCCCTCTGCCCCTTCCTTTTTGCCTCTATTTGTGACCTTATGTTCCATCATGACATATTCTAATGTTGGAGTTTATGATCTTATACATCAGACTCATAAAAACAAGATTGTCAGGGACTTCCAGGATCATCTAGTCCAAGGGTTCTCAGGACAAATTTTTTGGTGGCCTCAGAGAGCGGCCATCAACTCTTGCTGGTGGCCGTCCTTACACTTTTCCCTAATATACTTAATTAGCTTTAGGAAAAACAAATAAATATGCACATATACACATGCAAATAATTGTAATTTATTTGTTGCTAGCTAGTAAGTCTGTTGTGAAAAGTGATATTAACAAACATGCAAGCATCACTTTTCACAGCAGACTTACTCAGCCCTGGGGACAAATTAAGCCCTGGATGGGGGGGGCGGGTCAGGGGAGGCAGCGGGGGCCAGGGGCAAAGGGAGTTGGTGGGTGGTGGACTGTGAGAGGCAGTACGGGGGCTGGAGCCTGAAGCCCCGTGGTCAGAGCCTGGGGCCTGCCACCACACAGCCAGAGCCCAGAGCTGGAGCTCAAAGCCCCCCAGCCAGAGCCTGCCACCCCACCACCCCAGAGCTGAGGCCCAAAGCCTGAGCCTCACCGCCCCTGCGAAAATGGGGAACTCACTGGCTGCCTGCTCCTCCAGTCTTGTGCTCCAGGTGTCTCCAGAGGGAGACAGAGCCCAACCCCTGCTGGTGGTCCCAGCAACCAACACCAAGGCGGTGCATCCTGGAGCAATAGGAGGGGGGGCACTATTTTACCACCTGGAGGGGGAGGAGCCACTATTTTACCACCTACCCCCACCCCATCACAACCCAGGAGGCTGTGGGCGCAAGAAAAGCCCCAGGTGATCGCATGCGGCCACGGTGGCCACATTTGAGAAACACTGACCTAGTCCATCTAAAAGGATTTTAGCAGCTGCTCTTTAAAGGGATTGGAGAGCTCAGGGGACCACAGTCAGGGAGTCGAGAGATGGGGAGGTTACAGTAATCAAGACAGAAAATGAAGAGTGTCTGGACAAGAGGTCGTGCTGTGTAGACAGAAAGAAGAGGCCCATTGTAGAAGTGTTTTGGAGGAAGAAGTGGCAAGAACTGAACACAGTCTGGCTTTGTAGGATAAGGTACAGGGAGGCGTCAAAGATGATTCTCACATTACAAGCCTCAATTACAGAGAGCATAGCAGTGTTGTCAGCAATGACAGAAAAAAGAGAATAGAGAACATTTGGGAGGAAAGAGCAGGAGTTAAGTTTTTGCCATGTTAAGTTTAACATCAGTTCTGCTCCCAATCTCACCTAATAGAATTTCTGTAAATCATGTAAGCCGAAGGGCAACATCAGTGACTAGGGTGACCAGACAGCAAGTGTGAAAAATCAGGACAAGGGATGGAGGGGTAATAGGAGCCTATATAAAAAAAGACCCAAAAATCGGGACTGTCTCTATACAATTGGGACATCTGGTCACCCTATCAGTGACTCAGCAACAAGAGTTCTCAGTATCCAAAATAGGAGCTTTTTTTGAGTCAATCCAATTATGCCATCTCTGTGGAATCTACTGTAAATAGCTACCTGGTAGAATGAATGGCCATAGCCTATATGCTAAGCTAAACCAACATCTTCATGACAAAATCTGCTGCGTGATTAAAAACAGTTTACCAAGTTATCTCATTAGTAACCAACTCTAAGACACAAGTTCGTGGCTTTGTCCCAATAAAAAAAGCATTGGTCATTTCAGGCAAAATTTGTGTCATCTTGGACACCAGACATCCTTGAGTTATCTTTCTTACTTCAGGAGCCCAAGTAGTCATATAAATACGTTAATTTATTTTGCCTTCTAATTTGAGTACCATATAGCTTTGAATCACTACCCATGAGTTTCTGTCACAACAGATGATTAAATTTCATTGAAGCCATGTGACCAAAATATCTCAATATAATGACATTTCATAGAAGCAAGCTGCAAGTTGTCCTCAGTTTTCAATTTTAAATCTTCAATTAATTTTTTTACATGATCATCACTTGAGAAAGAATGACAAGGCCTATGTTCCTATGCTTCTAATTTCCAGGGAGCAGCTAATCAGAAGTCTTAAATTAATAATAAATAATAATTAGGGCTGTCAAGCAATTTAAAAAAAATCATGATTAGTCACATGATTAAACAATAATAGAATACCATTTATTTAAATATTTTGGATGTTTTCTACATTTTCAAATATATTGATTTTAATTACAAAACAGAATACAAAGTGTACAGTGCTCACTTTATATTTATTTCTGATTACAAATATTTGCACTGTAAAAAACAAAATAAACAGTACTGCAATCTCTTTATCATGAAAGTTGAACTTACAAATGTAGAATTATGTACAACAAATAACTGTATTCAAGTAACTTTAGAGCCTACAAGTCCACTCAGTCCTATTTCTTGTTCGGCCAATCGCTCAAACAAGTTTGTTTACGTTTACAGGAGATAATGCTGCCTGCTACTTGTTCACAATGTCACCTGAAAGTGAGAACAGGCATTCGCATGGCACTATTGTAGCAGGCGTCGCAAGACATTTACACGCCAGATGCAGTAAAAATTCCTATGTCCCTTCATGCTTCAACCACCATTCCAGAGGACATGCATCCATGCTGATGACAGATTCTGCTTGATAACAGTCCAAAGCAGTGCAGACCGATACATGTTCATTTTCATCCTCTGAGTCAAATACCACCAGAAGAAAGTTGATTTTCGTTTTTGGTGATTCAGGTTCTGTAGTTTCCGCATCGGAATGTTGCTCTTTTCAGAGTTCTGAAAGCATGCTCCACACCTCGTCCCTCTCAAATTATGGAAGGCACTTCAGATTCTTAAACCTTGGGTCGAGTGCTGTAGCTATCTTTAGAAATCTCACATTGGTACCTTCTTTGTGTTTTGTCAAATCTGCAGCAAAAGTGTTCTTAAAACAAACATGTGCTGAGTCATCATCTGAGACTACTATAACATGAAATATATGGCAGACTGCGGGTAAAACAGAGCAAGGGACATACAATTCTCCCCCAAGGAGTTCAGTCACAAATTTAATTAATGCATTTTTTTTAACGGACGTCATCAGCATGGAAGCATGTCCTCTGGAATGGTAGACGAAGCATGAAGTGGCATACGAATGTTTAGCATATCTGGCACTTAAATACCTTGCGATGCCGACTACAAAAGTCTCATGTGAATGCCTGTACTCACTTTCTGGTGACATTGTAAATAAGAGGTAGGCAGTATTATCTCCCATAAATGTAAACAAACTTATTTGTCTGCGCAATTGGCTGAACAAGAAGTAGGACTGAGTGGATGTGTAGGCTCTAAAGTTTTGCTTTGTTTTGTTTTTGAGTGTAGTTTTGTAACAAAAAAAATCGACATTTGTTAGTTGCACTTTCACGATATAGAGATTGCACAACAGTGCTTGTATGAGGTGAATTGGAAAATACTATTTC